TTTTTATACACAACAAACATATACAAATCCAAATTGAAATGAAAGGAGGCAGAAAGAAAATGTCTTATAATATCTGCCCCTTTTTTCCATAATTAATTTCAAGCAATAATAATCAAGAAAAACAAAACCAAAATAAAAGCTTCAATTCCTTCTCAAACAACAACTTTTGATGTACATTATACTATTTCATATTTCTTTAACAAACTTGTTTTTATCCTTCTCTTAAAGAAATACATTGAACCAGCATTTTTATAATCACTTTCCAGATTATTCCTTGAACCGAAGTACATCGCTCCTTCAAGTTTGTTCAGATTTTAGGTTTGATAAACATCTCAAGTCCTTTAAGATTATAAGAACTTTCTGTCTTTACCAGAACTCATGGGAACGTTTAGGATCTTGGAAATCCTTTTGTATCCGTCCTCTGACCTGTCATTCTCTAGAATCGTTTTGAATTTATTTTTCTGAGTTGATTTAGGGCAGTCGCTTTAAAGAGTTCGCTCATGCTCCATGTGACACTTGGGCTGACATCTCGCTGGGAGTTTGCAAACGTGTTGACGAAAAACCAGCTGTAGAATTTCGAAAAGTAAGTTGAGACGAGCTCCAGAGACGTCCACGACAACTCTGTGACTTTTTTGAGAAACAAGAGAGGACAGGAGATAGACCAGATCCAGTTAAAGTCTGTTCCTCCAAACTGAGGTTGTTGTGAAGGTCGTCATCTACTTCAGGTCATTTAATATTTGCTCACAACCCCAAATCATTCAAATCTAAAGAGTCTTTTACCAAATTATTGCTCTACTGTTTGTAAAATCAATTAGTTTGTTTTATTGGTCAGAACTCCATTCTACCAGAACGTGTTAACATTTTTTGCTACATTACGTATCTAATTTGTCGTAAACACTCATTCCTGTCGTTTGAGTTCAGTCATTAGGTTCTTTAGAATAGGGGCTGATTTTCCACCTTTATGAGTGATGAAGCAGTGATCTGGATATAAATACAGGTGGAATGGAAATGACTGTCTGAAGTGCACATGATTTGATGAATCCACCTCCAACCTCTCTTCTCTCTGAGCAGAAACTAATCAACATCTCATCCGAAGTYATGAATATTCACATCATTCCCACCCAAACGAGACACTTCCACACGACTTACACCAAAAAGGTATTCGGCTGGAATCCGCCAGTTCCACCCGTCTGTCAAACCCTATCAGCATTTAATCCTCATGTTTTTTGTTTTTTTTTTTACCGTCTCTGTAAAGAGCCGACTCATCCCGGGCCTCGACCACGCCCTGAAGGTCACGTTCTGTCCCGAYGAGTGGCGCTACTTCTACGACTGCGTCCGTGTTCACTGCAAGGTATCGTAAAATACACGATTAAAAAAAACCCAAAACATGAGTTTTACAGAAGCGACAGTTTGATGTGTTGGTTGCTGGAAAGGAGGCAGGCGACATGCCAACACTTCACCTGCCAGGAACTTCAAMCGGCTTTAACTTTTTCTTTTTGGTGATAAGTTTTCATTTCTGCCTCCTCCTGTCTGCATCCGTCCTAAACCCACCGTCTTTTCTCTCCGTCTCGTTCATCCAACACGCCTACACTCCATCTGAGGACGAGGACAACCTGTTAATTCCAGTTCATGCTTACCCTGCCATCGACGACCTGCACATCCCTCCTCGTATTGACCTGCCGGCCGTCCCGCTTGGACACAGGTGTGTGTGTGTGTGTGCGTGCATGTGTGCGTGCGTGCGTGCGTGCACGGCGGGAGGGTTGACCTCCTGTCCGCCCACAGTCTCATCTGTCTCTTCGTATTTCTTCAGCCTGTCATCCATTCACCTGTTAGTGCCATCTCACAGGAGGAGAAAATCTAACTTTTTATTGCTTGTTCTTTCTTTTCTCTCCCGGTATTYTTAGCGTTTGCCACGCCATTCCTCTGAGGTGCAGCTGTCCAATCGACTTTGAGTTTCAGGTGTTTGTTATTCAGCAACACGAGGCCTTCTCCATCCACCCTCTCGCAGGTGAGGACGGGCACAATCGTGTCTTTGTTTTTATCAGTGAAAAATGTTAGACATTACTTAATAAATATTTACATCAAATGTAAAAACGAGACGGTAAAATTACTCTAGGCTGTTTAGTTTTTGTCGCAAGAACGTCACCTTGTTATTTAC